GCTTCCCAAAGTCCTGGAATTACAGGCGTGAGCCACCGTGCCCAGCTGGCTCTTGAATATGAATTTGCATTTCTTCATTTTCTAAGCATCCCAGAGGCAAGATGCAAAGAGTAAGGACTTGGTAGTTGTCCTGATTCTGCCAGTGGCAGGAAGTAGCCTTTTTCCTCATGACTTTGGCAAATTGGCAGATTTTCTTTCTTTCTCTGTCTCTCTGTCTTTTAAAAAAAAATTTAAGTAAACATGTATTCATCCCATCGTGGATATTTGTCATTTTTTTTTTTTTGCAGAATCTCTAGAACCTTCCCAGGTGTGAGGCCTTGCCTGCCAATCAGAGTGGCGGAGTGGGCCAGTGTCAGAGTTCCACGCTGGCATTGGGGTCAGAGCTTGATGACCAGTGAGAGCTGCTGTCGTTGGCCTGTCCCTGCTCCCCATCCCCACAAGAACCCAGGAAATCCTGAGACAGGAAAGATTGTGGACACTTCTTTGCTGATGCAGCCCAGAAGCGGATCTTCATGGGTCTCATTTTCTCTTTCCACCTCCTTGTGCGTGTAGCTTTAGGGGTGTCTGCTCTGGGACAATCCAGGAGTCTTGGCTGCTCTGTTTCTCTAGTAATGGGCTCTGCCTTTCCCTGCACCTGAATATGGCTACGTGATTGCTCAGACCTCAGGCAGATGGCGAGTGGCTTTTCCTGCAGGGTCAGAGAGACGTGAACAAAGACAACCCTGCTGCTAATTGCTTATGTATGCCCCATGTTGAGGGTGAACCAAAGAGAGGCTGTGTCCCAGAGATGTCCCCCAAGGTTCCCCGGCTTCAGGAGGCCACAGGAGATGTTTATGACCAGCATCAATAGAAAGTTGATTTTTCTTACGAAATAATCTCTGCTCTATACGTCTTTTATTGCCAGATTATCAAATAGAGTCTGCTTTCTAGAGGATTGCTGCAAAGTCCAGCTAATATCTAGCACCAGCCTGGGAAGACAGCATTTTAAAGACAAAATTGTGAGATGTTTAATAAGCTCGATCTTTAATGATCATCATGCAGCTGTGCAGCACCTGACCTTTTATCAGGATACGTTCCACAGAGGTTAGAAAGTTCCCAGGTCCTTTTTCCAGCCAGCCTTCCTAGTACCCATGTAGACAAACCAATACCGCTTGGTTTGCTGATCCCAGTAATGCCACATAATTAGAAGGTAAACCTCTAAGTCAGAGCCTTTAACAGCTCCCAGGTACTTATATCCACTGTTCAGAATGTTCCCTAAAAACCAGCATCTCTGAGGGGACACTTACCTGTCAAGAAAATACTTTATTCCAGAATCAATTATTTTTGGAGAAGCTCTAGGTTTTTTTTTATCATTGTTAAGTGATGTTTGTCCTTAAAAATCCCACCTTGTCTTTTACTTCACTCTTCGCTTGTGCTTTGCGGGTAGACACAGCCAGAGGTTCCTGTGAATGAGGTTCCCTGGGCACATACTCTGTTCACTTCCTCTTAGAAATGAGTCTGCATTTAAAGGAGGTGGCGATTGTGCATAGTGGTGGAGATGGTGTCTGGCAGCCTGTGAGTCCTTTCCCTGGCCTGTGTGCTTGATACCCTGCAGGTCTAGTGGAGCCTCCCGAGCCTCAGTACTAGGGGGAAACTCACAGAGACCGAGAGCCACCCTCCTGAGAAGCTGCTGGAGTCCTGGTCACCTCCACTGGGCTCCATGTGGACACACGGGGGGGGGGGGGC